AGCATGAACAGATAAAAATATCAAGCACGTGATAGATAAACATCAAGCATGAACAGATAAAAATATCAAACACGTACAGATAAATATCAAGCACGGACAGATGAATATCAAGCATGAACAGGTAAAATATCAGGCACGGTGTAACATTTTGTCAATCCATGCTTGATTTTTCACCCGCCCAATGCCTGATAGTTTAGTCCAGCTCGGCTTGCCATAAAAAACGTTTTATTATTTGCTGTATTACGTCACAACAAGCTACTATCGTTGATGGTTTATTATAATGAATTACTTTATTTAGTTAACCACAAAAAATAATCATGAAAAAATAAACTATACTAAATATATGATGCATTAGTATCTGTAATATCTGTAATTAAATAAATAAATTTCTGATGTTTTTTATCAACTTCATTTAAAACATTGTATCACCTAGAAAAATTACATTTAAGAAAGAAGTTACAACCGTACAAGCTGGTAGAATGCAAAACAGAATCTTGTCTTATTGTTTAAAAAATTGCAAAATTTCTTTTAATAAATAATTGTTAAAAAATAATTAATTAAATAGAGTCCATTCAAGACACTTTTTATTGTTTAAAAAAATTATGAAACTATAGTATGACCGAAATTGAAAATGAAAATGAAATTAAAACAGTTTTACTTCAAAATATTTTCTTGATTTTTTTTCATGTTTTGGCTGGATCAGTACTTCCACAGGAAGCACTTTTTAAAGATGATATATTCAAAGTTGAAACTTCGAAGACTTTAAATTCTTATTTAATAGATTTCCACAAATTTATCATTTCATTGTATTAAAGTAAAAAGTTTGTAATGTATTTACTGTTAATGAATTTTATCCTACAATCAATACTGCCCAAGAATCTGGAAATTTATTTCTTCATTAATAAATCTATTTGGTGTTTCAAAAACTTCCGTAAAAAAGGCTGATATCCCCCAATGTGTGTGGTGCCTGCACAATCCGCGGATAATTATTCGGACATCTCGATTATTAAACATAATTCGGGCCAAATTCTGTAGTGCCGACCGGAACTACAGTAACTATAGACACGTGCTTGATCTAGGATAAAAAGTTTATCCGGACCGTAAATGATAGTTTGTTGACGTATGTATGACTACATGAATCCTTTTAAATCCATAAATAGAATTTGATTTTAATTGCTTTACTCCATTTTATTTAATATTTTCATTATTAAAAAAAATAAATAATAAAGATGCAAAATAACGAAAATATAAATGAATGGATTATTTGGATTGAAGAAGCTATTAATAAAAAACATATTAAATATTATGAATTTGAAAATTTTAAAAATATTCAGGAAATTGGTTCCGGAACATTCGGAAAGGTTTTTCGTGCAAATTGGAAAAATTTTGATCATTATTTAGCGTTGAAATCTTTTTTTAATCTTAACAGCATTACCTTAAAAGAAATTGTTAATGAGGTAATTTATACTTATTAAAAAATTCGATTGTACACAGTATTTTAAAAAATTTATTTTTTTTTATATTTTTGTTCTTTTTATATTTTTTTTTTTTCAAAAAATTTTTTTTTTTTTTCCAATTATTGTACGTTCATCATGCATTAGCTTAAATTTCAACGAGATGTATATTTTCATAATAATATTATTCGCTTTTATGGAATCACAAAACTTGAGTCAAGTACTGGTAAGAATATCATTAAAAAATAATTAATAATAATTGTAACAGTCAAATTTGAAATAATAATTAATAACTATTTTATTAGAAAATATATTTAATCCAACAAAAGGTTATTTGTTGGTAGTAGAATACACTGACAGTGGCACTCTTCGTGAATATTTGAAAAATAACTTCCATAGATTTACTTGGAATGATAAATACAACTTGGCATACCAATTGGCTTGTTCTGTACTATGTCTGCATGAAGAAGGAATTGTTCACCGGGATTTGGTATTTTTTTTTTTTATTAAAAAATATATTGATTTCAATAATTATAATTGATTTATATTCTTATTTGTATATTATGATAGCATTCTAGTAATGTGCTGATTCATCAGGGTTCAATTAAGTTGGCGGACTTTGGATTATCAAAAAGGATTAATGATGCATCTAAATCACAATCAAAATTACTTGGTATGATTCCCTATATTGATCCAAAAAAATTGGTGGATAACAATTTAAGATCAAATGAGAAGTGCGATGTATATACAGTAGTATTGGCGTTTTGTTATGGGAAATATCAAGTGGGAAACCGCCATTCCATAAAGAGGAATATGATTTTAGTTTAATGTATAAAATTTCACAAGGTCGGAGGGAAATAACTGTTCCAAATACTCCTAATGATTATTCTAATCTTTATACTGGTAAATATGATCAAATGTATTATTTATTTTATTTATTAAATCGATTATTTTGACTAAGCATATTTCTTTTAATGATTAGAATGTTGGAATAATGAACCAAGTAAACGGCCATCTATACATGAAGTTGTTAATAGATTAAGAACTTCAAACCGCATAACAATTTATCAACAGAATGATATATCTGATAAAACTAGTCCTATGCCAAATGAAAATAAAACTCCAATTAGAGAATTATCTAATATAGATACTACAAGTGAAATAGATAGGATGTCTACAAATGAACAAAATAAACAACTTGTTGAAAATTTGGAAAATTCTCTGGGTGAAAATGAAAATCTTCGGGAAAAATTACAAATTTTACAAAAGGGAAATACAGAACTTATTGAACTAAATAAAACGCTTCGATCTCAATTAGATGAAACTACGGCACAATTAGAATGTGCAAGACCATCAGTATATCAAGGAAACAAGGATATTGATGCTGTAATGGAAAACGACAAAAAGGTACGAAGTCTACTCGAATCTCGAATGGTAGATCTTATGGCCAAGAAAAACAAGTTTATGTGCTTTTAGGACTGTTCTTATGTGATCAATTCTCATTATAATGAAAGTATCTCAGTCTCTCAGATGGGTGGGTGATGCTTAAATCTCTCCTTTGTTCCAAAAAAAGGAATTTTTTATGCCGATCATTTAATTCTGGCCAGAATTAAATATGTCTCATTATTTGACGAAAAACACCAGAAAAAAAGTTGTCAAATAAGTCAAAAATGACATTAGAAATACATATACTATGCATTTTTTTCAAATTTCTATTACAGAATGCAAGATTTAAGTATTATACAGGGGGACATGATACATACACATTTATCCTATTTAATAAGCTTTAATACTAAATTTCAAGCATTTGTAGTTAATTTTTTCAAATTTTTTCAAGTAAAAAAAAAGTCTAAATAATTTTGCATATCAAATGATCAAAATTAGATGTATTTTTGAGCAAACTAACATATCCTTGTTATTTGAATGATTTAATTCTATTTTTATCATATAACTGAAATCAAGCCAACTTGAAGAAGAATCTTCATCATTCCCATAAATGCAATGTTCACCAGGGATAAATTCACCAGGGATAAAAATCACCTCAGGTAAATTCACTTTTATTATATTATATAATTATATTAAAATTTAATTTTTTTTTTGTTTAAAAAAATCTAAAAAAACTAAAAAAAAATCCAAAAACAAAAGTTGTACAATTTTAATACATTATATACAATATAAATGAATAAACCATCTAAAAATTAGTTTATATATTATGTACTACTGTAAATCAAGGTAAAATTTACCTCTGATAAATTAATTTTAAATTAACCTCTGCTGAATGTCAAATTAATTCACTTTTATAATAATTTTCAAAATAAACACTCAAATAATAAAAAAGTTTTTAAGCCCATGAAAGAAATTTTTTTTTTTTTGAATGGATGAATTTGTTATTTTGTAAAAAAAAAAACTAATACAAAAAAATAGATTAATTACAAATAGTATAGAATTAGGTTATAAAGGAAAGGTACATCATACTATATAGAGTATAGACCGATAGAATGTGTACATATTTAGGTTTGACCGATTCTATTATTGTTCGTATATTTGCATTAATGGTAAACGAGGTATTTCAAGAAAAAAACTTGAAAATGTCATCTATAAACCGAAATATGTTATACTCCTTAGATTCCAATTATATCTCAGAATTAGTGAATAATGAAGACACTGAAAAGTATTTAAAATAATAAAAAAAAAATTATTTTTAATTTCCGGTTTAGTTTATCACTACAAAATTTAAATTCTAATTACATCTCAGAAGAATTAGAGCTTGATATAGACATTGAAAGGTATTTCAAATAACAAAAAAAAACAATATTTTTAAATGATACAACTAATTATTTGAATTTATCAACTTTTTAATTAGTTTATCATCTCCAAAATTTAAGTTCTACAATTCAAAATTTAGAATTAGAGCTTGATATAAACACTGAAAGGTATTAAAAATAATGATAAAAAAAAATGTTTTAAATAGCACAACTAATTAACATTCGTATAATTTTTTACTTACAAAATTTAAGTTCTGCAATTCAAAATTTTTCAACCTCTTTTAAAAAAAAAAGAAATGTAGAATTTTTAAAGGTAGTACCTCATGATAATAATGGTAAATATTCATTTGGCTCGATGTTATTTTATTTACTTTCGTTATAACCAATTACGTTAATATTCATTTAAATCAAATATAAAATATTATTTATAGGAAAACTTATTAAAACCTAATTATCCATAGAACTATAGCAGAAGTAAAATATTTCATTATTCTGCAAATACAGAGTATATAGAAATATTTAATAATTTTTTATTAGATTTTCTCAATATTAAAAGAAAATAATGTAAAGAAATTAGAATTCAGATATGATATTTATTTAAGACTTGTATTTGTAATTTTTATTTCATGTACTATTAGAGATTACGAATGAATTGTTTATTTTTTTTTACATTTATATTTAAAGTAACTGTCTAATATGAATAAATAACAATAATTCTGAAAATCAATTTTATATTCTTTTTTAGGATTAATTTTATATTCACCAGTGGTTAATTTAAAATTAATTCACCAGTGGTGAATTTCACTTCAATTTTTATAAATTTTTATTAAAATACCAAATTTTAGTAATTTAATGGTGAATTTCACCTTGATTTACATGTATTACATATATGTGTTACATTAAATTTTTAAAATTTTATGGTGAAATTCACCTTCGGTGAATTTTACCCTAATTTACATAATGTATAAACAAACTTTTAGCCTTAGAACGCCATTTTTCTTTTTTTGTTTTTATAATTTTCTTTAAAGAATATAAACAATATGGAGGATTCTAATGATTATAATAAAGATATATATAAGACAAATGCATTTTTTTCGCCATATTCTGAAACTTTAGACTTTTTATTATCACCATTTAATGATAATTTTGCTATAAATTTTTTACCAGTTGTTGAACCAGATTTTAATCATAATTTTACAAACATAGATAGTTTTTCTC